TAAACAAGTAAGAGGTTAGACATGTCAAGTGATATGAGAAGAGAATAAAAGGGTATAAGCTTGATCCAATGCAAAAGCTAGCCGAAAATGTTCCTTGTCCTTGACTTGAAGAGTTTTAAACAAATGAAGTGCAAGAACCATGAGGAATAACTGATTTGTCAGATTCTTTTTCAGATGACTCTTCGGTTACATAGTTGATATTAGGGACAACACAATATAGGTGATTTTAGAGTATTCCATAAATAATTGTGGTTATTGAATTGTCGATGGATTTCAGCATTGAATGTACTCTACTGTCAATTCAATTGTCACAAGACATTAAGTTCCTAAATTATGTTATTAAATTATATGTCACAATAGCAATAAAGATATTATATATTTTGACAAGGTAATATAGGTATTTAAAAGACGTAAATTATATAAATTTCATCAAATGATTGATGCATGAGTAATACTAACAANTTCAGCATTGAATGTACTCTACTGTCAATTCAATTGTCACAAGACATTAAGTTCTTAAATTATGTTACTAAATTATATGTCACAATAGCAATAATGATATTATATATTTTGACAAGGTAATATAGGTATTTAGAAGACGTAAATTATATAAATTTCATCAAATGATTGATGCATGAGTAATACTAACAATTCAAATACATTAAAAATATGATTTATATTTTTAACATGTTATTTACTTTAACTCTTTCACAACTTCTTCTTTTTTTGCCNTATCAACTCAAACAAGGTTTGAAAAACATAGCAAACTGGCGGTCTCATTTCACAACTAACATATATATAGGTTTGGAATGAAAACAGTGACATTTNAATTCAAATACATTAAAAATATGATTTATATTTTTAACATGTTATTTACTTTAACTCTTTCACAACTTCTTCTTTTTTTGCCTTGTTTTTTTTTTTTTCGTTTAACCCTTTATATGTATAATCATAATATGGTTTTTTTCGATTTTCAATTGAAATTATGAATTTTTTAATTTACCAGTTTAAATTGTCGTGCATATATAAATTTTTGGCATAATATATTATTTTTTGGTTACTTCGTGTTTTAAGGCACCAGTAATTACTAAATTTTTTATATTGCAATTAAAANTTCGTTTAACCCTTTATATGTATAATCATAATATGGTTTTTTTCGATTCTCAATTGAAATTATGAATTTTTTAATTTACCAGTTTAAATTGTCGTGCATATATAAATTTTTGGCATAATATATTATTTTTTGGTTACTTCGTGTTTTAAGGCACCAGTAATTACTAAATTTTTTATATTGCAATTAAAATATTCAACCAATTAAAAATAGCAAAAAAATAAAGAAAATTACACTAAGACTTCTTAAGATTTGTCACTTAATCGCTTAAACTCATACATAGACCCTTCAAGGATTGTAATAAATTACATTTAAACCTTCTGACATATGTAGGTATATAATNACTAGCAAAAAAATAAAGAGAATTACACTAAGACTTCTTAAGATTTGTCACTTAATCGCTTAAACTCATACATAGACCCTTCAAGGATTGTAATAAATTACATTTAAACCTTCTGACATATGTAGGTATATAATACGTAGACCCCTTAAGTTTAAATATTATACTTAAACNAATAGCAAAAAAATAAAGAAAATTACACTAAGACTTCTTAAGATTTGTCACTTAATCGCTTAAACTCATACATAGACCCTTCAAGGATTGTAATAAATTATACTTAAACCTTCTGACATATGTAGGTATATAATACGTAGACCCCTTAAGTTTAAATATTATACTTAAACTAAAAATACTTTAATCAAAGATAGAATATCAAATATTTTAAATTTTACAACTAAAATTCGTGTTCATTGTATCATTTATTGAAATAATTCATTTTAATTTTTTTCTTAAAAAATCGTAATTAATATACAGTTATACTATCTATTAGAATAAAACTAAAAAATAAACAAGGAGTCTAAGTTATTCATAATAGAATATGAATTTTACATCCAAAATTCATGTTCTATCATTGATTGAAATAAAATAAAAAATAAAAATCTAATTTTNTATTGAAATAATTCATTTTAATTTTTTTCTTAAAAAATCGTAATTAGTATACAGTTATACTATCTATTAGAATAAAACTAAAAAATAAACAAGGAGTCTAAGTTATTCATAATAGAATATGAATTTTACATCCAAAATTCATGTTCTATCATTGATTGAAATAAAATAAAAAATAAAAATCTAATTTTTTTTTAAAAAACAAATCATAATTAGTATATAATTATACTATTTATTAGAATAAAACTAAAAAATTAAACAAGGGGTCAAGCTGTAATGAACACAATATCTTTTAGTTTTATTTAGGGTAGTTTGTTATTTTAATTTGGTCGTTTAAATAACCAAATTAAATTCCAATAGATAATATAATTGTATATTAATTACGATTTTTTTAAAAAAAATTAAAGTTTTATTTTTGATTTTATTTCAATAAATGATACAATAGAATATGAATTTTAATTATATNGGACACAATATCTTTTAGTTTTATTTAGGGTAGTTTGTTATTTTAATTTGGTTGTTTAAACAACCAAATTAAATTCCAATAGATAATATAATTGTATACTAATTACGATTTTTTTTAAAAAAAATTAAAGTTTTATTTTTGATTTTATTTCAATAAATGATACAATAGAATATGAATTTTAATTATATAATTTAAAATATCTGATATTTTATTTTTGATTGAAATATTTTTGGTGTATGTATAACATTTAAAACTTAAGAGATTTAAATAATATATATTTATAAACTATAGGGGGTTTAAATATAATTTATTAATAGAAATATTTGCAATAAGGTTAAAGTGTTCCACGAGTCTATGTGTAATATTTTAAACTAGCAATTGCTCGTATTTGAAAGCACAGTGTTACTCGTAAATTAGTTACAAATATTTATCCATACATAAATGTAAAGAAAAATACAACATTATAGTAAATGACAAACAAAATGAGTCCGCTAATATTTTTTATGACATCAACCTACATGCATAACATATNTAAAGTGTTCCACGAGTCTATGTGTAATATTTTAAACTAGCAATTGCTCGTATTTGAAAGCACAGTGTTATTCGTAAATTAGTTACAAATATTTATTCATACATAAATGTAAAGAAAAATACAACATTATAGTAAATGACAAACAAAATGAGTCCGCTAATATTTTTTATGACATCAACCTACATGCATAACATATATTTTCACATTAAATTGTTACGCTATGAAAATTATGTTATAACTACTGAAACATAATAATTTAAACATTTGAAAAAATATATCAATTTACAACATTCAGTGTTCTGTTTTTGATTCAAAATTCATGATTTTGACATTCATAATCAACTTTATCTAAATAATAACAGAATTCATAACTAATAGAATGAAAATTAAAATAATACTCCCACAAATAAATTAAGTCCGCAAATGTTGTCAAATGATCAAATATAACTATCAAAAATTCAACCGACTTTCAAAAGATACGACATAACTATTGAATTTGTATGATATGAGTTTATTGTAGTGTTTTTAATTTTATATCATTATTCTCAGTTATTTATATTCTTATTATATTTTCTTAAACTAAACGTTATTTAATATTAGATTGTTTAGTAAAGATTGTTATTTTGTGTTGCTCACTAAATATTGAATTTATATGATTCGTGTTCACAATATTGTTTATAATTTTGTAACATTTCTCTCACTTGTAACATTGTATTATTTTTCTCGGGTATTTATATTTGGATTATTTAGTAAATATTTGTTGCTTTGTGTTGTTCACTAAATATTGAATTTGTATGAATCGTGTTTATATATAAATTTAATCTTTTATATTTTAAATGTTAAACATATTTTCTTTAATATATTTCTTGATATCTGAGTTGTCTAATAACTTTAATTTAATCTTGTATATTTTTACATGTTAAGTATATTTTTTTTTATTTAATTAGATTTTTTACAAGTTATGCTTTTTTTTTATTGATTATGGAAAAAACAAAATTGACTATTGAATTTATATGATTCGTGTTTGTAATATTATTTGAATAAAAGAGAAAGATACACAAGAATATTTTTGTGATATATATTATCTATCTAATATTTATTACATAATTTTTATTCAGAGAGAGATACAGAAGAATATTTTCGTAATATATTATCTCTCTGTGATATATACTATCTATCTACCGAGAGATATAACATTTGCTTAAATTAGGGACTATCTAATATTTTTGTGATTTTTTTGTGAGATACAGTGAAAGATACAGAGAAAAATATTGTAAAAAATTAATACTTTTTACATGAATTGAGCGTGTGAGAGATACAGAGAAATGAGAGAGATATTTGCTTGATTTAAGGAAAAGATTTTGAAAAATTAAAATTTGGAATATCAATTTTAAAAATTATAAATTTTGAACAGTAAAAATATTTTTAAAAAGTTAATATGGTACATTAAATTAAAACGATCTAAAAACGTCAATAGCTCGAGTCAGTTTATGATAATATCGTCCGTTAGATGATGTATTTTTTGGTAACAAAACGATTTAAACCACTCTTTATTTTCAAAATTTAAATTCATTGTATTTTATTATATAGAAGATATCAAAAATAAATAACAAATTTTAAAGTGTTTGAATATAATTATATCGCAAAGAAAATTGGCTATAGGAATGAAGACGATAGTCCGTCCAGGTTCATAACACACATTTTCACTGCCGCCCCAAACCCCAATTGGCTCATTGGGACAAACCATCCTCTGAAAATGGAGGAGTCAGCTCTAGTTCGTAACCGCTGGCGGACGTATATAAATCATCATCTATGACTCCTTCAACTATATACGTACTATACCACCCCAGGCCTCACCTTACCTTCCCCAGCATTTGAGTAAGAACGAAAGATTCACCTTTGGGTCACCCACTAAAGTTTGAAGAGAAACAGATTCAGTGAGAAAATGGCGTCCTGGAATTCTGTTCCGCTGGAAGTGTTATACAACGTGTTGGGTTGGGTCGCTTTTTTCTCTTGGTCGATCAGTTTCTATCCCCAAGTCATCCTAAATTTTCGACGAAAAAGGTATTAACTATTCCATCATTAATTCAGTTCCCCAGTCAATTTTCTGCGGTTTTGATTTTTTCGTGAAGGCTTTTCTCAAGAATCTCCTAAATTGACTGTTGTTTTCCCAATATCTGTATAAATGATCTTCTGGGTGATTGGAATTTAGTGTGGTGGGGCTGAATTTCGATTTCGTGGTGCTGAATCTGACGAAACATTCATCGTATCTCATCTACAACGCTTCTCTCTTCTTTAGCTCTGATGTTCAGAGGCAGTACCGCCAGAAATATGGCCTTGATGAGGTTTGTCTCTCTGGCCTATTTCATTTTTCGGTTTATTTATATTTTGCACTCTCTCTTTTCTTCGATATGACTTTGGAGATTTTTTTTTTTTTTTGGGGTGGGGGGGGCTAGTATCATGTGTTAGTTTTATCAGGTTTCTCAGCTATTGAACATTTGGCTATTGAAATCGTTTACTCTGTAAGCATCTTCATCCAATTACTATATTTTAGGGTCATGATTGTTCAGAGTGATTTCCATTGTGAATCTGGAAATGGTTTTGGAATTTGGATTATCCTTTTCTCTCTCTCATCATTTTTGAGATAATGAATGACTTCAAGTTTTTTTGTACTTTAAGAGTTCTTTTCTATGCGTTTCGGAAGTTAAAGAAGGCTACGTGTGAACTTAGCAGCCTCTAGGAAGTTACTTTTCTTTTTCCTTTTTTCAGGGTGGTTGGGGTTGGGAAAGATATCTGGACTCTGAAATGATGCTAAATTGATGGAGGATGTTGCATCGTTTTTAGCATTTTTCTTGAAGGAAACTATAAAAAATTCTTTTGAATGTCTCTCATTTTTCGTTGTATTCTGATTGTTTAATTGCAGATGATACCTGTAGCTGCAAATGATGTAGCTTTCTCAGTGCATGCTGTTCTATTGACTGCATTTACGTTGTTCCAAATTGCTATTTACGAAGTAAGTAGCTGACTCTTATTTAGCATCTTCTTCATTCCAACCACCCTAGATCTTCAACCAATTGATCACTTCAGTACAATTCCAACAAGTTTGCATTATATTCTGTTTCCAATACTCAGCGGCTTGGGTAAACGAAGCCTTAGCAATTTTATCTTGTTTGTATAGCATCTTAAAGGTTCTTATTTTTTATTTCAAGAGCAAAATTTTGTGTTAAGTTTTGCTCTCAAGATCATGGTGATCTATATATATTTTCCATCCAAACATACAATTGATTTGTTTCATCATGAATATTGGAGATCGTGGTATGTGCATTCATATCTACTTGTGCTGATTTCTTTGTACAGCGTGGAAATCAGAAGGTCTCAAAGACTTCTATTGGAATTGTCACTGTTGCGTGGTTAGTTGCTGCAGTTTGTGTGTTCATAGCTCTGCCAAGCCACTCCTGGCTTTGGCTAATCTCCTGCTTTAAGTAAGTACCTTTTGAATTACTTGAGTCTGTTCCTCACCCTAAAGAGAGAAAAGAAAGGGAAAAGCTACTATAGTGAATAATAAAGATAATGGACATGGTATAAATTTAACCCTTGCAAATCTGTCTTCATTTGAATGGAATCAATGAAGTCAAGTCTGTGAGATTTCGTAAGAATGAACACAAATATTTGTCACAGCACAAGTCTTACTACCTCTAAAATAATAATCAGCTCAGTGAGATATAATAGTGCATAATAACAACCTCACTTCTCTATAATGGCCTGTAAGTCAGAACTTTCTTACTTTCCTGTTCCACATCTTCATTAGTCTGATTGTCAGATAAGCAATTTTGGCTATTTGGATCATTTTTATCCCATGTGACTCTGTTATTGGCTGCTTTCTAACCATCAATATTTCGATTGTGATTGCAGCACTTTGCAAGTTGTTATGACAGTCATCAAATATATTCCACAGGTTACTATTGTCTTCCCCTATTAATTGTTTGAACTTAACAAAATATTGCCAATTTTACTCATTGATCATTGCCTTTATGTTTGCTGCTGCTTATCATTATCACTGCCACATCTGGAAACTAGTAAACCAACTGCTTATCATTCAGAAACTTTGAGGGTTTCCCCTGGAATTTGAGTAAATCCTGAGTGGTGTGATTGTAATTTTCCCTTGTTTCACTTGCTCCTTCCTAAGGGTATTAAGGGATTATCTGGTTGCTAAAACACAGAACTCCCTTGGCATTTTAATTTGCCTTCCATTGTTTCCTTTGACATTCAAATTCCACTTTGAGGATATAATGTATAATATTTGATCTTCTATATGTGTTATACCATATGGAAGATCTGTGCTGCTATTCCTGAGATTTTATCATGTTGGATCAAGTATATATTCTTTTATGCAAGTTTACGTCTCTCTTTATTTGAATTGCTGGCAAACCTTTATTTTCCTAAAGTTAGATGCATATATACTAGGTATTCCCTTCTCTATTGAGTGAAATAGTTCTTTTTTTGCTAGGTTTCCCTTCCTTCACTTTGATATTGTTTGCTCCTGCTGTTTTAATAAGTAGAATTGATAATAAATACCCTTGTCTTAGTCGTCTCTAATTCTTGAAATAATTGGAAGGAAATTGTGGGCATGTATAAGCATGATATCCTGTACTGATCTGGAATTTTTCACTTATATGATTGGCTTTATTTTCTAATACTGGATTCTGCTATAAAATAATAGGCACTTATGAACTTTCGGCTAAAGAGCACGGTTGGATTTAGCATTGGCAACATTTTGCTTGATTTATTTGGAGGCGTGACAAATTATGGCCAGATGGCTGTGCAGTCTATAGATCAAAGTATGTAATACTTCCAACAATCCTTTAGATATAAGATGTGCAAAGAAAAGAAAAAAATTCCGCCTGAAAATGTACCTGGTGCCTATTATAATATGCCTACTTCTTGTCTTCTCAGATTCCTGGGTGAACTTTTATGGAAATATTGGGAAGACACTGTTATCTTTGGTATGTAATGTTCTCCTCTGATTTCATTTAGTCTAAACATCTCCCTTTATTTCACGGCAGATTATTCTTCTGCTGCTATCATAATTTTAAGTGAAATTAACTTCCTTTCCCTATAGTTTTTTTTATTTTTTATTTCCTTAAATTTATACTAAGCCTTTTTATTTAAAATTAAAAAGATTTTAAGAGTTTTGAGGCAGTGGAGAACAAAAGGAACCGGCATTACCTTTGCTTTTGTTGCTGGAGACCTGATCCAGGAAAGAAAAAGGAAATAAACAAAGGTTCTTGTTAGTCATGCTGATTATTTCCAACAAAACATTAAAATTATTTCAGCTGGGCATGTACTTGTATCAGGCTTGGTGGTAGCAGATTTTACACTTGTGTCCCTAGAGATGAAAACTTAGGATTTAAAAATTGATCGATCTCCTTTTTGTCCTTTTCTCTGATGCTTTGAGTATCATGTCCCTGAAGTGGTACCGGATCCAAAATGAAGGGAGGGATAATATAAAACATTTCTTGCAAAAGGCTTTTTTTCGTTGATAGTTGGTTAATACTCAAGATGCATGAGTTACCATAGCCTTACATGCTGCAATTGTAACTTTGGTATTTCTGTTTTTCTATTTTTTCTCAAATCCTCATAGATGATCAAAAGGGCAAAAGGGAAATGTGTACCGAAACTTATTCTGCACTGGTTTTGGTGAATGAACATTGCAGGTGTCCATTTTCTTTGACATTATCTTCATCGTGCAACATTATGTGCTCTATCCTGCCAAGAAAATGGTAATTTCTCCTAATCTTGATGCTTTAAGCAAGGAGGAGGCACTTCTTAAGTCTTCCGATCACCCTCATTTGGACAATGTCTAGTGGTTAGCTTAGCTTTAAGATTCATGCTTGCCATTGCATGGAAGTTAACGTTCATGTTTATCTCATATATGTATAGTAAAACACTTCATGGTGAACAATATCCATACAAAAGCACTTATGCAAGCAATGAATTAGCAAGATCCATTAATATTGAAGCTTCGTATCAGTGAAGTTCTCTCTCCCGCTCTTTCTATGTGTGTGTCAGTGTTGAGTATTGGCAAACAAATGGCTGCTGGAACCTGGTCTGACATTAATGTCATACTGCTCGAATATGTTGTTGAAAATTTCTCATGGATGAAAAAATGATTTTGCACCTATGGATTCACATGTCTTTCACGAACTGATGGAAAATAAATGACTTAGTCATCCCAGCTTCATGCATGGTTGATTAGAGGAGATTAGAAGTTGAGGATCAACTTCAGAACATCTCTCCTCCTGAGCTCATCTATTTGAAACTATTATCGCTTATTTTGGACTCTGAAAAGGTCCGTTGGAGGGTTTACCTTTTAGTGACTGTATTTGTAACTGGAATAGGATAAAGCTTTTTCCGAAAGCANGTTGCATGCATGGTTGATTAGAGGAGATTAGAAGTTGAGGATCAACTTCAGAACATCTCTCCTCCTGAGATCATCTATTTGAAACCATTATAGCTTATTTTGGACTCTGAAAAGGTCCGTTGGAGGGTGTACCTTTTAGTGACTGTATTTGTAACTGGAATAGGATAAAGCTTTTTCCGAAAGCATTATATTAAAGTTTGGTACAGGTGATAAAATTAGTCAGGTTTGGAGCTCCTGTGATCAGACTGCGACATTGGTGTCGGGCGCTTCATCATGCTAGGGGATGTGCAAAATTTTCTGAATTATGTGAACAGAATGGGATGCTGTAGATGATCTATATCATCTTATCTTCATAATATTTTGCTGTAGGTAGTCCAGGAACAGCCTAAAGACGAGGAAGGTGGCTGATGCATGCTGTGAAGCCAATAAGGCCAAAGACAGCCTCTCTTTTTTTTTTTATTTTTTCCAAAAATTATGTGTTAAANAGGGTGGCTGATGCATGCTATGAAGCCAATAAGGCCAAAGACAGCCTCTCTTCTTTTCTTTTTTTTTTCCCAAAAATTATGTGTTAAATTAAGGAAATTTTCAAACCTAAATAAAAAATAAAAAATTATAAGTTATCTATTAATTGGGAGAGTTTTTGAGCTGTAATAGATGGCCATCTCTCTCTACCTCTAGATCAAGAGTTGTTAAATGGGTCTTGTCGAGTTAAATCGTGCCATCAAAGTTTATTGAAGTAATACGTGATTTATTTATAATTATGCATAATTGAATATCAATCGTGTATAAACAGCGTTGAGCCAAATTAGCGTAATATTTAATTGGGTTACTCTAAAATAGTCACTTCTCTTACCGAAAAAATAAAATAAAATAGCCCCTTCTTCCTAGATCCAAAAGCACTTTGATTTAGCTGTCAAAGCAATTAGAGGAGTTCAAGCAAGATCATCATTCAATTTTTAGTACTTTAACGGAGTTATTATTTTGGATAGGCAGCTAACTAGATGATGATATAAATATGGGCTAATCTCATTTTGCACTCGAAAAGATGTTTTTATTTTTAATTTATATCTTTAAACATTAAAAATTTTAATTTATGCCTTTAATATTATGAATTGGTAGTAATTTTAACTTGACAAGGCTGTCGTTCAGTTTTTTGTTATAAATTTAAGCACTTAATGTGCAAATGCTTTTGGCATGAGGATGAGGAATGTCTATCGTTGTAGGTCTTCGTCTTTGGTCAATTTAACACCGTTTTGTGTATTGAAAATAAAATTTCATTAATTAAATAGAAACTAATCATATTATGTGCAACTCATATTAAATATCAACAATATGTGAATTTATACATAAAGCCTATGCCTAAAATGCTTACAACTCATGTGCTTTAATTTAAAATGAAAAACTGAAAGCAATTTGGGCAAGGTTTACATTGATATCAATTTATATTATTGAGGGTGTAAATTAAAAATTTTAATATTTGAGGGTATAAATTAAAAATTAAAATATTCTCCGAAGTGTAAAATGAGATTAACCTGTAAAGATGGAGAAGCTGTCAATGAACCTTCAGGCTNTGCATAACATGACTCGTTTCTATACTAATTATACATAATTGATACACGATACGAATCTGATAAGAAATGGCTTGTTAGACACCAATTAATAAATGAATAGAGTATGAATAAGGTACTTTTTTGACATGAACACATTAAGAGACAACACAAATTTATTTCACCCAACAAAATTGATAGGCCTAGTTTGCACCAGACTCTTTTCATTTTTTTTCCTCTACTTTTTTTTAATATATTTGATGAGCCCAAATTTAACTGGGTCAAGCCCAATAAATCAAGCAGGCCCAAATCACTTAAAAGAAAGTTCAAGTCCAGTTCGTGAATTTGACCCGCCCCAAAGTCTAAGGAGTTCAAGAATAATTAGAGCACGTGGGGTATAATCATTTGGATACTTATTCTCGAAGATCAAGACTACTTTTAATTATCCTTACCTTTTGTAGCTATCATCTCTGAAAGATTAGTGTCTTTCCCTTCACGTCACCGCCTCACCTAATAGTTTTGTGCCTATAAATTGTAAGCTCTATTTCCATCAGAGAACATCTATCTCTCTACACCTCATTACACCTATCTACACACTTCTCTCTCTAAGTTATTATACCTCTCCCGGACCTAATCATTGCTCTCTCTCGTTTACCTTACTTCATCAATAAAGATCCTCCGCCACTGTCGCCGTTTTCAAAAGTAGAGTAGGTCATCGGAATCGAACCATTATATATTTGTGTATTGACTCAATATTTACATTATTGTCATTGATTGTTTTATTTATTGTCCATTAATTATACTTTATCATAAACTCAACTATTGATCTTATACAAATCTATTTTGTGTATCATCAATATCATTTATTATTAATGAGTGAAAAATTTATTTATAAATAATAGGACTGACTTAAATTCATGGGATCTATCGAAAGGGAAAATAGTGAGAAACTATACATGGAAAGCTCACCTCCACGGCTCCACATGGACAAGTCACACTATTACTTGAATATCTGTTTACCTTATTAACAAAATTAACAAAATTAGTGCAACGAACGTCTTCTAAGAAAATTGATTGAATCAATTGTCCAGAGGAAATGGTTTTAATCATAGGTTTAAAACCCGGTTCGGACATCAACCTGGAGAAGGGATCGAGTCAATGGGTTATTGGTTCAACCACTGGGTCACTGGTCGAACCGGTGATATAATAAAAAAATAAAAAAATAAAAAATAATTATTAATGATGATAAATAGACTAAAAAATTATAATAGTCATTAATAGTCATAAAAATAACATGTTTAATATATATTAAATCAAACAAAGTTATCAAGCTTGAATCACTTAATTGCATTCAATTAACAAACCAATGCATTCAATTAACAGCCCAGCCTCCACCCTCAAACCTGAATCACTTAATTGCATTTACTTAATTTTTGAGTTAACAAACATTCAAAAATTATCAAACCAATACATTCAATTCCAATACAATTTGCCTAATCTGCTATTAATCAAATCAAATATTCACTTAATTGCATTGTTCTTGAAATCAACTTCATAAGAATTCATACAAATCAAGTCTCAAGAGAAAGGCATAGCAACACGAAGCAAAAATAAAAACCATCAGTATCATTGCAAAACCATCAACGTGAAACAAAAGAAAAAACCAGCACCAACAACAACAAGCAAAAACCAGCTCCCAGAGCAAATATATATCTCTCTATATATATATATAAGAGAGAGAGAGAGAGAGAGAGAGAGAGAGAGGTACCTATTGTTGTGTCTTAGAGAATGAAATTCGTAGAGTTCGAGTGAGCAAGCCAACCACATCGCCAAAAGAAAGAGAAGACTGAATCAGAATAAGAGGTTAAGAGTAATCAAACCTTAAAATCCAACGATGAGGCAGAGAGGAGGACGAGAGATAGAGAGGAAGACAAGAGGTAGAGAGGAAGAGGAAGAGGAAGAGGAAGACGAGAGGCAGAGGCTCACAAAGACAAAGATCAGATTAGGGCAAATGAATTGCTGTTGGTGGAGGGTGGAGGCTGCTCGTGGATCGCTGGTGGAGGGTGGAGGCTATTGTGGTGCTGTTGGAGGATGTAGCAGTGTTTTAAAACCCGGCGGGTTCACCCGGAAAACCAGTGAATCGGTGCCTGAGCCGGGCCGATCCCTTAATTGGATCGGTCTAACAAATGGCCTGCTTGAAAACCATTCAAATCGACCTAAAATCGGTCATTTTTCATTAAACCCGAAAAATCGATCCTGATTTTCACAAATCCAACAAACCCATTGTATTGAAACTCAAACATAAAATATTAAAACTAAACTTCAGGCCCAAGCTTATACCAGACTCATCTTATTCAAAAGAGCTGACGTCAAGCCATCAAGTCTTAACCAGCAATAGTAGCAACGAGGAGAAACAACATTTTTAGTTTTTTATAGGTGCACAGTCTTCATAACTCCCGGTGAGTTTCCGATGTGCGATAGACTAGTGCACTTAAACTCTCTTTGTTTTTTTTTTTTTTTTTATCACTTTTTCGTTTGGTTTTTTAGGCATCATATTATTACTATTTAAGTATTTATACTAAATATTCAATATTTCTTAGTGAATTATTTTATGCTCTATCAAATTATATCAATTATGTAAACAAATTAATGAATTGAGGATATTTTTTGTCTTTTTATTTCATTTACTATAACATAAAATATGTTATTTTTTGTAATATTATAATTTTTTAGCATATTTACCATTATTATTATTATTAATTGTATGACTGGTTCGACCGATTGATCCACGGTTGAACCAGTAACCCATTGATCCGGTTCTTTTGCTGGATTGGTGTCCGGGCCGAGTTTAAAAACTATGGGATAGANCCAGTAACCCATTGATCCGGTTCTTTTGCTGGATTGGTGTCCGGGCCGAGTTTAAAAACTATGGGATAGAGGCTGGACTGTGGAGTGCGGACACTGAACGAATGATTTAGGATTTAGGGCAAAACAGANAAATATGTTATTTTTTGTAACTATTATAATTTTTTAGCATATTTATTATTATTAATTATATGAACGGTTCGACCGATTGACCCACGGTTGAACCAGTAACCCATTGACCTGGTCCCTTTGTTGGGTTGGTGTCCGGGCCGGGTTTAAAAACTATGGTTTATTGGTTAAAGTTTGATTTTGGAGAGTTTGGGGGATATCTAGGCTCTAGGTACTGGTACCTCACAGGTACTTGACATCCAACTCAAGTATCGAAACTTAGGCTCACAGGTATTGGTACCCCGATGACAGCGAGCTCAAGTACCGATACCACTTATCATAGGTATCGGTACCTTTTCTCAAAAATTGAATTTTGAAATGTAACATTGCCGAGCTTTCACATCTTGCATGCTTTTCTTGGATGATATAAATAGATAAATGTTAAGTCCTAAACTTTGGGTTTTGGACCTTGGAATGGTTATTCAAATAGTATGTGAACAAGTTATATGTTGAGTAGTGCTCTTGTGCAATGGAGACTTTGCCCAAATTTTATTTTATTATGAACCCAATGAA